AGTGACTGGTGGTCTCTAAGGGTCAGGGTAAAAGAAATGTGAGTGTTATTGGGCATGGGTTTTGGGACGGTGATGAAACTATTCTAAAATTAGATCATGGTGACGGTTGCACAACTCTGTGCATATATTTTAAAAAATTGGATTGTGCACTTTAAATGGGTAAACTGAATGGTATGTGAATTACATCACAATATAGCCACTGTTTAATGACTGAATAAATCAGCCAGAAAGTTGAACAAAAAGAGAGAGATGATCAAAAGTAGGAGACAACATAAAATTAGAAGACTATTACAGGAGTTTCAACATCCAAACAACGGATAGTCCATTAAAAAAAGAGAGAGAGAGAACAGACAAAACAAAGAAAAGAAATTAAAGAAATAAATTTATTTGAATGAAAGGACCTGAGTTTCTAAACTGAGAGGGCCTACCAAGTACCCAATACAATGAATAAAAATAGACCTAACCCAAAGGTCTGGAAATTTAAGAACACTGGAATCAAAGAGAAAACCCTGCAAGATTCCAGTAAAGTAAAAACAGATCACCTATTAAAAGTCAAGATCAGACTGCCTTCACACAGTTTTGTTTTTTGTTGTTAATTTGGTTTCGTTTTTGTTATTTTTGGCAGAAACAGCGTCTGGCCATGTTGCCCAGGCTGGTCTCAAACTCTGGCCTCAAATGATCCTCCCACTTTAGCCTCCCAAAATGCTAAGATTACAGGCAATAGCCACCACGGCTGGCTTGGCCTCACACTTCTCAACAGCAGCACTGGAAGTTGAATGAAAATAGGGCAATGCCTTCAAAATCTTTAAAGGAAAATTATTCCCAATCTAGAACTCTATACTTCGGTAAACTACAAATCAAGTGTGATAGCAGAATATGTGATTGCAGAATAAAGGTTACTAGACAATGTCACCCATGAAAATGAGGGAATAAACCAAGCAAGAAGACATGAAGCTCAAGAGGTAACCAACAAAGACAAGCAAGTAGAATCTCCAAGAACAACAGTGAAGGGAGGTAACAGTTATGCACTAGGCATAGAAGGGAACAGTACAGATTAGAAATCAGGAGGGTCCAAAAGTGGTTTCTACAAAAAAAAAAGAAACAGAAAGTCTAAGTCTCCTCAACATCCTGAAAAAAGTTTCTGACAATTGGTGGAAAGTCTAGGGTTGATTTAATGAGAGTCAAAGAAAACTAAACAAATACAGACATTTACAATTTCAGAGAACATAAATTATACACACATGAAAAAATAATGGTAATATCATAGTGATATTAAACTCAGTAATGATCTAATATCGTTACATAGTATCATATGATACTAAACTCAGTAATGATCTAAACCAAATTATGATGTAACTATACTTGGAAAATGGCTAAAAATTTTTTATGAAAATAGACTGGGCACGGTTGTTCACACCTGCGATCCCAGCATTTTGGGAGGCCAAGGCAGGAAGTCTGCTTGAGCCCAGGAGTTCAAGACTACCCTGGGCAACAGAGTGAGGTCCTAGCTCTACATAAAACTTTAAATTAGCCATGTGTGGTACTGTGGGCCAGTAGTCCTAGCTTCTCAGGAGGCTGAAGTGGGAGGATGGCTTGAGCACAGGAGTTCAAGGTTACAGTGAGCTTTGACTGCTCCACTGCACTCCAGTTTGGGCAACAGGGTAAGACCCTGCACCTAAGAACAAAAAATATAATCATGCTATGTAGAATTATACCAAAAGAAAAAGCATAAAGAACCAAAAGTGGTTATCTTTGGGTAGGAAGAAGCTTTGTTTTCAAGACAAGGTCTCACTCTGTTGCTCAAACTGAGTGCTGTGGCATATCATTGCTCACTGCAGCCTCAACTTCCTGGACTCAAGCAATTCTCCAGCCTCAGCCTCCAGAGTTAGACTACAGGCACATATCATCACTCCCGGTCAATTTTTTACTATTTGTAGAGACGAGGTCTCACTACGTTGCCCAAGCTGTTCTCAAACTCCTGGGCTCATGTGATCCTCCTGCCGCAGCCTCCTAAAGTGCTGGGATTATAGGTGCGGGAGACTGTGCCTGGCCTACTAAAGGTATTCCTTTTTTGTTGGTTTTTTTTCTTTTCTTTTCTTTTTTTTTTTTTGAGACAGAGTCTCACTCTGTCACCCAGGCTGAAGTGCAGTGGCACACCTTCTGGGTTCAAGCAATTCTCTTGCCTCAGCCTCCTGAGTAGCTGGGATTACAGGCGCCTGCCACCATGCCTGGCTAATTTTTCTATTTTCAGTAGAGACAGGGTTTCACAATCTTGACCAGGCTTGTCTTGAACTCCTGACTTCATGATCCACCTGCCTTGGCCTCCCAAAGTCCTGGGATTACATCTTAGAAAATATGAGTTCAAAGAAACCTGACTAGGGTCATCTTAGGTTCCAAGAATCTCTGAAGTATGTTCAGACTCACTCATTTGTCTCAAATTTTCATTGCTGGTTTTTTAACTCCTTCTGAAAGTCTTTGGTAAATGTTGAAAATAGAGCAATTCCTTCAACAGTATCTTGTTTTTCAAAACATCAATTCTCCCTTGTGGCCAGGCATTATGTCCACACCCACCAAGGGTAGGAACACCTTTCCAAAGACCACAAAAGTCTTGTTCGGTCACTGATAAACATCTGATAACCATTCTCTTTAAATTAGTGCTGGAAAATTCTTCTCAGTGCTCTGCATCAGTGCTTATAGCTCATCCTTAAATTCTTTTTTTTTTTTTTTTGTGAGACGGTCTCACTCTGTCACCCAGGCTGCAGTGCAGTGCAGTGGAATGATCTCAGCTCACTATAACCTCCATCTCCTGGGTTCAAGCGATTCTCCTGCCTCAGCCTTCTAAGTAGCTAGTACTACAGGTGCGTGCCATCATGCCTGGCTAATTTTTGTATTTTTTGGTAGATACTGGGCTTCACTGTGCTGGCCAGGCTGCTCTCAAACTCCTGGCCTTAAGTGATCTGCCTGCTTTGGCCTCCCAAAGTGCTGGGATTATAGTTGTGAACCACTGCACCCAGCCTAGCTCATCCTTAAATTCTGTTATCTCTTCTGAACTATACGTGTTAATTTATAACTTTTTTTTTTTTTGAGATTGGGGTCTTGCTATTTTGCCCAAGCTGTTCTCAAACTCCTAGGTCCAAATGCTCCTCCTACCTCAATCTCCTGAGCAGCTGAGATTACAGGCATGCCCCACCACACCCAGCTACATTCACATATAATTTAGAAAAATAAAAGCTAAAGAAGGCGAGGCATGGTAACCCACACCTATAATCTCAATACATTGGGAAGCTGGTACAGTAGGATTGCTTGAGCTCAAGAGTTTGAGAACAGCACTGGCAACATAGTGAGACCCCATCTCTATACAAAAAATTAAGAAATTAGTTGGGCATGGTGGTGCATGCTTATAGTTCCAGCTACTTGGGAGACTGGGGTGGGAGGATCACTTGAGACTGGAAAGTCAAGGCTCGCCACTGCACTCCAGCTTGGGCGACAGACCAAGATCCTGATTCAATTAACAACAACAACAACAAAAGCTAAAGAAAATGATGTGTGGTTTGAACATCCATTTCACCTCTAGGTAACCTTGTTTTCAACCCTTTCACTGTCAGCAACAGCTACCCTTATATAGCATTTATCAAGTGCAAGGCACTATTCTAGGCATTTTATACATATTAATGCAACCTTCATAACTATCTTATGAGGTAGACAGTATCAATGCCACCAAACTGTTTCTAATGAACTGCATAAAATGAAGTCCTTTAACAAAAGAAGTTTTGAAACTCCAGAAAACAAATAAATTTATTTCTTCCTACTGTCCTCTCCACACTTAAGTTATGGCACAGTTCATTACTATTAATTGTCAAATTTTGCTTTTAAATACAAACTCTTGTTACAATACCTGCAAACTGAAATGCGTAAAATAAGCTCTCCCAATAAAACTACAATAATTCCCACACTTAAGGTCTTATAAGAATAGGTATTTAGATTGAACATATAAAATAGTCATTTAGATTTAAGGATTTTCAACTCACTATGAAACCTGAATTTCATTTCTTTAAATATTTAAATTTAAAATTATACAAATTAAAAGTTAGTTTTCCCTTCCTTTTAGAAGAAAACACACATTGGAAAACTAAAAACCATCTTGATACCCTAAGTATAGGAATGATCCTATACTGAGATCACATACATTTAGAGAAATAATACACAACTTTTGAAAGGATAAGTGAAGACAATGTAGCACTGAGAATTATTATAATACAATGTTAAATGGAAAAAGAAAATTAAAATTGTGCTATATGAACACCTTTTTTAAAAAAACATAAGCATGTGGGGGCACATATCATCAGGACCTCCTGAGGATGTGTCAGGGGCAAAAAAATTTAGTATTAAAAAAAAAAAACATGGCTGGGTTCAATGGCTCATGCCTGTAATCCCAGCACTTTGGGAAGCCGAGGCAGGCAGACCGCAAGGTCAAAAGATCGAGACCACCCTGGCCAACATGGTGAAACACTGTCTCTAATAAAATACAAAAATTAGCTGGGTGTGGTGCCATACACCTGCAGTCCCAGCTACTCAATAGGCTGAGCCAGGAGAATAGTTTGAACCCAGGAGGCAGAGGTTGAGTGAGCTGAGATTGCATCACTGCACTCCATCCTAGCGACAGAGTCCCTGTCAAAAAAAAAAAAAATATATATATATATAGCAACAGTTGTGTTAAGGTAGAATAATGATTGAAGACCCTTTGCAATTTTGCAGTAACATTTTCAAAAAGTTTAAAGACACTGTAAAAAGTTTAAACATTAAAAAGAAATCAAGATGTTAAGTGACTCTGGAAATGTTCTAAAACTGCTTTGTGATGACAGCTTCACAACTCTGTAAATTCACTAAAAGATCACAAAATTGTACATTTAAAACATGAATTTTATGGCCTGTAAATTATACCCCAATAATGCTGTTTTTAAAAAATATATTAGGAGAAACAACTGTTTTACAATACTCACATGAGAAAACTGAGGCTGGGATGGGATAGGAAGTGACCCAGGCGTGAAGATTGGTGTGCTCTGAGATACTGGTGTTGAAGCTTGTGGTGATACAGTGGGCTCAGGTGGGAGAGGGGGATTTTCTAACTCCACTGGTTCACTTTGAAGTTTCTTCTGAAAAGGCTCCCCTCCTTCTTCAGATAACATTGACATGTCCATTGGCTTACCTGTTTTAAAACAGGAAAAACAAATTGAGAAATATCACTCATCAGTATTACTCATATTTCAACATCACTAAGAACAATTACATAACAGAAATTTTCACTCTAAAAAAATAGTGATGTAATTTTCACAAAAGCTGACAGAATAATAGAAGATTGGTCCTAGCAATCTAGCAATACTTCCTTTGGTTGGCAGAGCAGTCCAAGCTCCTATTTTTAGGTATAGATTAAAACTGATGCATCTGGGGCTACCCACCCATTCATAAGAAATGTTAAATTAACTTGGCTCCTTTCCTAATTTTATAGCTCAGTTTTTCACATTTCACAGAAAAGCCCAAACTACCGGTACTTAATTTAACCATCATATATTCTACTATGGGCCTTGAAAGATTTGTCACCACTGTAAGTAAATACAGTATCTATAATTCATATTTATGAACTCATTATATTCACATTAACAATTGCTAAGTGCAGAGAGATGGATGCCTATACAAACACAGATGAAGAAAAAAAAACCTATCAATGCCAATCAGCACTGATTTACCAAAAAGCTAAGAGAAGACACTAATCCTGACACAAATTAGGAGGGAACACACACAAAACACAAAACACTGCTTTTCCATAGTATACAACCACCTGTAGGCTATCAGGACCTTGCCTGGAGTCAGCCTAGCTAGCTAAGTATTTGATTCATCATTTTTATCCTCTATCTTACAACTTGACCCCAACCAGGCTTCCTCTAGATCACTACAAACTACTTATAACATTTACCTTTTCCCCATAATTCACATTGATTCTACCAGCTACCCAAACTGCAACCTCAATACCCATCCTTGCTGCTTACCTTAGCCTCAATCTTACCAGTCTACACCTAATTTGAGATCAGGTGCTACAGGCCTTTAATATACTACCACAGCTGTGCTAAGTATTTTTATTGTACCTTTTGAACTTTCTGGCCATGACAAAGCACATTGAAAACCTGCTATTATAGGCAACTCATATAAAAAAGGCATATTAAGCAGATGCATTAAATCTGAAATATAACTGACAAGGGAAAATATACTGTTACATAGAAAAAGAAATCTGAGACATATAGATGACGTAAAAAAAGCTTATATTTATGCGCTGAAAACTGAAATATATCCAACGACACTAGTTTTAACTATAGCAGGCTTATAGTACCACAGGTGATTTTTACTTTCATTAATTTCCTATATACTTAACAAACTTTCTACAATAAATATTAATTGTTTACAATGAGGGAGAAAGCTTTTTTTTTTTTTTGAGACAGGGTCTCACTCTGTTGCCTCAGGCTAGAGTACAGTGGTGGGAACTTGGCTCAGTAAAACCTCCATCTCCTGGGTCCAAGTGATTCTCCCACCTCAGCCTCCTGAGTAGCTGGGATTACAGGCGCCCACCACCATGCCCAGCTAATTTTTTGTATTTTCAGTAGAGATGGGGTTTCAACATGGTGGCCAGGCTGGTCTCGAACTCCTGACCTTAGGTGATCTGCCCACTTGGCCTCCCAAAGTGCTGGGATTACAGGCGTGAGCCACTGCACTCAGCCTGAGAAAGCATATTTAATATAATTATTTTTATATTTTTTCAATGTTCACACTACAGATAAAAGAAACTGTTCTAAGAATTACCCAAACTTAACTTGTATAACCAGGGTTTTTGCAGAATTAATTCACCTAATCATGTTATACTTAGATTCGCATTAGTCCACTTGGATACCTACCAACATTTTAAGAAAACAGCCAGAGACAAACTTTGTAGCAGAAGAAAGTCTAAGGTCAAATTCTATGACTGATAAATCACATATGAAAACCTGTTAAATCTGTCTATGTTTTACATTATTCAAGAACAGAGAAAGGATAACAGGAGGCATATACATGACAGATAATGGGACAGGTTCTGGAGGCAGCTGCCTGAGTTCAAATCTGCTTCTACATCTCATTAGTTGCAAAATCTTTCTATGCCTCCATTTCCTCATCTGTAAAATGGGGATAAAAAATAACACCTCCTTCTTAGGATGTCTGTGAGGATTCAATGAGAAAAACCACAGAAATGCACCTAGAACAATGCCTTGCATGTACTAAGTGCTCAATAAATAAAAATAAAACTATTATATTATTACTTATATATGAATGAGGGAAAAGATGAAAATCACGGAATTTGTTAGAAAAAGCTTTGCAGGAATCATAGACATTTAGAAACATCTTCAATGACTGGATAGGAGACTAGGGCAGAGCAAAAGAAGCTTAAATAATGAGATAAATTAGGTAAGTAAAAAGGAACGCTTTCTTGCAAATAAAGTAATATAAAATCTCTAAGTCTTCCAAGGAGTAAATGAATGAAGTTAAAATTTTTACCACCTACTCTTAATCACTCTTATGCTAAAACTATTTTAATAATAGCAAAAATAACCTATAAGGACCAAAAGAAACAACTGTTGGTTCCTTCTTACTAAAAATATGTTCACATGTTGCTAGAAACAACTAGGCCATTAGTAAAAAGCCCAGTTCTTCCCCATACTAACTCATTTAAGTCAACTTTAAAAACAAAAATTCTTCCTCCAGAGCCTTTTTAAAAATTGAGCCAACAATACAGAAATCTCAACAGAATTAGTACTAGAAAAGCAAAGAATGGGGGATGGGGTTAGACCAAAAAAGAAAGAAAGAAGAACAAAGAACTGAGGACAGCACTTTACAATAGGCCATATCCCTAAAGGTTAGACAGACATGAGCCCTACTGAATTGTGTGGGTCACAAGCATTCTAAAGTACAAAGAAACAGTACATTTTGCAAGGCAGAAGTGTTGCTCCTATTCTAATCTGAGATCAACAGACGGATCAAGAGAGCTCACCTTGTCTCCCTTCTTGCTCTGTGGGACTGCTAGGAACGATAAAAGGAGTAGATCGGAAAGCATCAGGGGAAGGAGCAACAAGATCTGAGGAATTCCTTTATATAAAGAGAGAATCACAGGTTATTTTACCATAGCCACAGTTTTGCATTTCTGTATTTGTTTTTACTTTTTATAGGAAAAAATATCTAAGGCATTCAGATAAATACTTATCAGCACTTCTCCCAAACAGCTACCTGAGGCTGGCAGAAGAACCACAAATACTTCAATAACTATTTCCCACACCAGATATTTCTATTCTAAAATAAGAACTTTTTCAAAAAGAGAGCAAGGGAAAAGTGAATGATCAGACACAAGGACATCATGACTGAAAAGAAAATGAGCAGTGCTAGGAAATAAATAAATTTGCAGGTTAAAGACATAAAAAAATTATTCCATTTTTTTGCCTAACAGACCATACATATTTTCATTAGAAAACAAAGCTAAAACTAAACAAACAAACAAAAAAACAAGCAAACCTCTTTGCCCTAACACAGAGATAAAGAAATCCAACTACTATCAACTCTAACAACCTATTCTCCACCCTCTGCTATCAAATGAGAAGAATTGCAAGTAAAACAAAGGAGCAGAATGTTTTGGAGAATGCTTGTTTTGGAGGTATAACATTTTCTAAATAACTGTGCCTTTTCTTTCTTAGTCAAACCTTTGCGCTACTATTACAAAATTTTCAAATGGGAAAACAGATTTACCTGCCTTCAACAGTTTACTATGTTCTCATCCCCAAAGCTCTAAAGCTTAGGTTCTACCTTTTAATTTCAAAAAGAGTTCTAGAGTAGCAGGCATTTTAGCTCTTTCAGCCTTAGCCTAAGACGCTCAGGCACATATTGCCTTGGCATAAGCTATTTTAGGCTTACTTACGTGGAAAGACTCTCCTGAACAAGGGACCGCTGGCCAGAGAGCTGCAGGAGATGCAGAGTGGTGGCAGGTGTAGAAACCAAAGAACACCCACTTTCCTCCCTTGAAGGAGTAGAGTAACCAGCAGAAGCTATTGAAAAAAAGAAATTCAGTTGCATTTACTTCTCAGATTGACAGTACTGAGCTGCCAAAAACCATTCAATACTGCAAAGAGTAATATCCAAATTTCCAACCATGTTCCAAAAGGGCATAAATTGTTTTCTAATTATACTACAACTAATGGAATACCACAATGGCCCAAATCTTGAGCGAACATTAACCACCATCCCCACATGGGCTTCCTGAATAAAGGATTAACAAGGAGTTCCTTAGTACTTTCTGTCATGATCTAAGCTTAGAGTGAATTCTGGCCGGGCGTGTTGGCTCACGCCTATAATCCCAGCACTTTGGGAGGCTGAGGTGGGCAGATCACATGAGGTCAGAAGTTCAAGATGTGGACTGGCCAACTTGGTAAAGCCCGTCTCTACTAAAAAGACAAAAATAGCCAGACGTGGTGGCAGATGCCTATAATCTGAGCTACTGGGGAGACTGAGGCAGGAGAACTGCTTGAACCTGGGTAGGGTGACAGAGAGAGACTCCATCTCAAAAAAACAACTTTTTTAAAAAGCCAAAATCTTTATACTTCTACTTAGCTGCTCTTTCTTGGGATGCTTCTATTAAAAAATAGCAAACAAGCTTTTTATTCCAAGGTCTACCTTAGGTAAAGTCAAGCTCGTGCCATGATACAGATGCGAGAAGTCAAAACAATGCACATGACACCTAATGTTATAAATGCAGCGGTTTTCATGAATTGGGCCTCCTCAAATGAAATAGAAAAGACTAATGCATTAGTAACAGAGTTTATTACCAGCCATTACCGATTTATACTATGAAGAGTCTCCTATTGGTCCCTTCTTCTTAGCAATAGACGGAGTATAAACTATATCAATCCCAGTATAAAACAATTGCTTAAATAAAACCTTACAACTTTAGTAAGAGACCAATAAAGGTTTCTTGGTGACCCTCTGAATGTCTTGCACAGCAACCTACAACACAGCATAGTAAAGGAATATAGCCTTCTTCCCTTCCCTCCTTACAACCAACATAATATATTTTTCTGGTCATTAACTCAGGCTTTCTGGCTTTCTGAGGCTGTGGAATGAAAGATTGGTAGAGGCTAAAGAAGTGTGAAACAAATTAAATTCTTTTAAGTTCTATGTCCTTTCTGCTAGATTTTAACTTCCTATCTATGTCAGATGAACTAATAAACAGATTTAAGTTAGTAAACTGTTACGCAGATGAATATGAAAAATCTAAGCCTAATTATCATATTTAAAATTTGAAGACATACTAGCCATATAAAATAAAATGGTTAATATCCATAATACTAAAATTACTGCATTCGCTATTCTTCAGTATCTCATTTCCAAAAGAGAGAAAATCATGTCAAAATATTGAATGGAAATTATTCCCAAAAAGTCCTTCTCACTAATTAACTAGAAACGAACTTTCCTTCTATAACACAAACAAGTCTGCAAACCTATACAACGCTTTATACTTAACCAGTAGCCTCATACTAAAATAAAAAATTAGATCTTTGTAGAATAGCTGTAGCAACAAATCACTCTTGGTACCTGTTTTATTGCTCTGGTCAAACAAGTCTTCCTGAGTTGACAAAACCTCAGGTTCTGGTGACTTCTGAATCTGCAGTCCACATTCCATAAGTTCTTGTGCAGACATCTGTTCTTTTGTTTCCACAGCAGCAAGAGACACTTTGGGGCTAAAAGGCATGTTCTCTGACCTAGGAAATTCGTATCACCAGGAGAAAAAGTTGCTAAGTTCAAATGATTTCATCTTTTAACTAACAAGCTTTTCCTGTTTTGTTTTTCTTTAATAATTTCAAAAATTCCAACGGCTCTAATCTATATAATTATCTACTAAAAAGGAAATAAACTACTCTTTGTAGTGATACAAAGTCCTCAGCCCATTTCAAAACCTGTCTCACTCTCTCACACAGCCAATACCTGTCTTCAACTCTGCTCAATACCATGCTGCAGAATTTCTAAGACTTCTGATGAGTGACTTGGGGGATTTTTGTTACATATACTGTTATCCAGACCTATAAGAATTCTGATCCAGACCACAACAATGCCTGTAAGGAGAACAGTCCAAACTAAGACGTTCCATGGAAAGTGTTCGATGTGAATTATCCTCTGTACTATGCAACACTCATCTTCTGCTGACCTTTTCCCCAAATACTAACACATGTAAGACATTCATCCCTGGTCCCTTTCCAGAGATTTATGAGGTTCACCTGTTCTACCACTCCCCAGGATAAACAGAATAGCATAACTAGCTGGAAGGCAGCATCTAAAAGAAAAGCCTACCTGGTCAACATGGTGAAACCCCGTCTCTACTAAAAATACAAAAAATTAGCTGGGCATGGTGGCGTATGCCTGTAATCCCAGCTACTCAGGAGGCTGAGGCAGAATTGCCTGAACCCAGGAGGCGGAGGTTGCAGTGAGCCGAGATTTCACTCCAGCCTGGGTAACAAGAGCGTAACTCCGTCTCAAAAAAAAAAAAAAGAAAAGCCTAAAAAGTTACTGTTATGCCAAGCGTTTTACACTAGAAAGACAATTTCTCTTGATATTCAACTTTGCTTAGGACAACCCCTCCCCACTCTTTCTATTAAAGGAATTAATAAAACAATACTGAATGTTTATTTATCCCCTTCCCCAAACTGGAAGCATTCCAGTTTTCCTCGGCCATAGTCAAACTTCACCTGCTGGCCAGAGGCAATGAAGCTTTGGTCATAAAAATCACTAGAGAGGAACCAGAGGCACATTCCCTAATTCCTACCAAGTTAAAAGCCTAAAGAACCTAAGAAAATCCCTACATCTATCGATACCATAAAATACCAGATGCAGGATACTTGAGTACCCAAAGCAATCTGGGGGCTCCTCAAGTATATAAATAGTAGGCTTTCAAATATAATATTCATGTTACTCTTCATAACTAACCAGAGAGGCTAAGAAGACCTCCCATAGACAGGCAGTATCTCTGCAGACAAAGATCACGGAGTTATGCTTATAGTTAGAGCAGCCTTAAAACATCATTGCAGGCCAGGCAGTGTCTCACACCTATAATCTCAGCACTTCAGAGGCAGAAGGATCACTTGAGCCCAGGAGTTCAAGACCAGCTTGAGCAACATAGTGAGACTCCATTTCTACACCAAAAAAAATTTTTTTGAGACGAAGTCTTGCTCTGTCATCCAGGCTAGAGTACAGTGGCATGATCTCGGCTCACTGTAACCTCTGCCTCCTAGGTTCAAGGGATTCTCCTGCCTCAGCCTCCTGGGTATTTGGTATTACAGGCACCCACCATCACACTTGGCTAACTTTTAATAGGGACAGGATTTCACCATGTTGGCCAGACTGGTCTCCAACTCTTGACCTCATGGTCCACCCGTCTCAGCCTCCCAAAGTGCTGGGGTTAAACGCAAGAGACACTGTGCCCGGCAAAACTTTTTTTTTTAATTAACAAAAAAGAGTCTTTGTAGAATGCCTAAAGATAAAATTAGTAGTCAAGTATGGCCCAGGTGTTTGGGAGACAGAGGCAGAGAATCACATGAGCCTAGGGCAACATAGTGAGACTTTGTCTCAAACAGACAAACAAAAAATGAGTCTTGAGACTTCATAAGTAAGCAATGTTTCTAACGGAACACAAGTATGCCCAGTACAAGGGGAAATATATTTATAAATCAACAATTTCTAAAAAATGTTTTCATCTGGTAAAACAAAATTAGTACAACCCTATCGCAAAACCCATTAATACTTTTTAGAAAGAACACAACTTACCTTGCAGGTGGTAGATTTTGCTCTTTTACCACATGTACATCGTTACTGGGCTGTGCTATCACAGGGACATCCTTGCTGGACTGTTCTGCTATGGGAATATCTTCACTGGACTGTTCTTTGTGCTTAATTGCTTAGAGTTTTATTTAAAAAAACAGGAAGGCGATAATTAATTTCTCAAAATACTAGATACAGTCCCAGATGCTTTTTAAAAAGCAAAAATTTTAACAGAAGTCCAATTTACAAATATATACAGGGATCATTCTAAAAAGGAAAGTTACCTATAACTTAAAGAAAACCTCAGACCACAAGCCAACAATTGACAAGTATTTACCAGAAAACTCTTCAACATTACTAAATTACTTAGATTCTATCGACTTGGATAGCTACAAAACTTACCAAGGAAAAAATAACTACTTCTAGTAGGGGAGAAAACACAACTCCAAATATCAGAAAACATGTTTCATACCAGTATTAGCAACCACATCAGATAGCCTGGTATAAGCAGAGTTGGTGGTTACTGACTGTAGCTGCTCTTTGTCCACTTCACATGGCACAGTATTTTCCTCAACATCCTGGCTCTGGGAGAGTTCCAGAACCCCAAAGCCCAACTGAGATGAGGCAGTATCTAGGAACACAATGCCAAGAAATTAGTTATCATCCCACAACATTATGCAATGTACAAGCTGCCCCTCAGCAAAGGAGGGTCCTGTTACATACTTCATATCAAAGCCCTGTGCACCCCCCAAATTTTTCAAAAATAAAAAACAAATGTGGTCAGGTGTATTGGTTTACACCTGTTAATTCTAGCATTTGGGAGGCCGAGGTGGGTGGATCGCTTGAAGTCAGGAGGTTGAGACCAGCCTATCCAACATGGTGAAACCCCATCTCTACTAAAAATATAAAAATTAGCCATGTGTGGCAGCGCACACCTGTAATCCTAGCTACTGAGGAGGCTGAGGCACAAGAATCGCTTGAAGCCAGGGGGCAGAGGTTGTAGTGAGCCAAGATCACACCACTGCACTCCAGCCTGGGTAACAGAGCTTGACTCCATCTCAAAAAATTTTTTTTTAATTTTTAAAAAATGCATTAAAGGCTGGTCATGGTGGCTCACACCTATAATCCCAGCACTTTGGGAGGCCGAAGCAGGTGGATCACAAGGTCAAGAGATCGATACCATCCTGGTCAACATGGTGAAACCCAGTCTCTACTAAAAATACAAAAAATTAGCTGGTCATGGTGGCGCATGCCTGTAATCCCAGCTACTCAGGAGACTAAGGCAGGAGAATCGCCTGAACCCAGGAGGCGGAGGTTGTGGTGAGCCGAGATCACGCCATTGCACTCCAGCCTGGGTAACGAGCGAAACTCCGTCTCAACAACAAAATGCATTAAAGATGAAGGGGAAAATGTGTAATAAAGTAAAAATACTTCATACTATAAAACCTTATAAGCACTTAATACGATAGACTATGTTTGTTTTCTAAAGGTACATCATAAACCATACCCACAGTCATAGCAATTCAGATTGTATTTCCACCTGACAAAGCACACATTCCAAAAATATGTGAAAAACAACCTAATACAAAAAGAAGAAAACTCAATATACAGAAAGGAGGCTATCTACTGTACTACAAATTCCTGAATGCCAAATCAGGTGGAACATTTTAAATTACTAGCAAATTTATTAATGACTCTCAATTTAATTATGAGAAATCTGTAACCAAATAAAGAGAAGAAATTTAGACATGTGCAGGATCATGTTAAAGGAAGTCAGAAAAATCTACCATTCTGAAAAAGGCACAAGGCTACCTTCAGCACCAAGGGAATGTGTGGTATTGCCTGAAGTATCTTCTTCCTTCTCTTTCTCCTTCCGTTCCAGCTCTTCTTCCTTCTCTTCCTCCACAGCAGGGGCAGATTCCACCACTGACATGCCCAGAATACTACACAGCGGAAGAATATAATCATGTGTTCCCAAATAGTTTGGGACACTTTAATCAAAGCACTCTGACTCCCCACACATACCAACCACCTCTTAGCCGAACTTGAAAAAGTAAGAAAGTAAGATACCTCACCTTTATAGTGCTTCTTTCTATAAAAAGCACCTAAAAGATTAACAATTCAACATCCTATACAGAATTAAGTAAATAAAAAATAAACAAGGCACCAACATACTTGTATTTTACATTTTTGAGCAGAGGTAGAAAAATTTTGCATTCAGAAGAATTACTAATGAGTAACAAGAGAAGACATACATTAGATGAGCAGAGAAAGGGCTCGAAAAGCTTAAAAAGTTCACAGAAATATTTTAGTAAAAAATCTTAGAACATGGCCAGGCTCGATGGCTCATGCCTGTAATCTTAGCACTTTGGGAGGACCAGGTGGGCGGACCACAAGGTCAAAAGACCGAGACCATCCTGGTCGACATGGTGAAAGGCTGCCTCTACTAAAAATACAAAAAGTAGCTAGGCGTGCTGGTGTGTGCCTATAATCCCAGCTACTCAGGAGGCTGAGACAGGAGAATCACTTGAACCTGGGAGGCAAAGGTTGTAGTGAGCCGAGATCACACCACTGAATTCCAGCCTGGATGACAGAGTAAGACTCCATCTCAAAATGAAAAAAAAAAAATCTTAGAATACATAATAAAACCAGAGAGTCCAAACAAAGTTCAGGTAAGAAGCTTATATATGTATACACATATACTTTTTTTAAGTCACTTTTTGTTTCAGAGACTGGGCATGGTGGCTCACACATGTAATCCCAGCATTTGGGAGGCCAAGGCAGGCGGATCACTGAAGAGAGATAGAGACCAGCCTGGCCAACATGGTGAAACACCGTCTCTACTAAAAATACAAAAATTAGCATGGTGGTATGTGCCTGTAGTCCCACTACTTAGAAGGCTGAGGCAGGAGAATCCCCTGAACCTGGGAGGCGGAGGTTGCCAAGGCAGAGTGAGCCAAGATTATAAAACTACACTCCTGCCTGGCGACAGAGTGAGACCTCATCTCAAAAAAAAAGAGAGAGACAGAGACGGGGTGTCTCCCAGGCTAAAGGGCAATGGCATGATCACAGCTTACTGCGGCCTTAAACTACTGGGCTCAAGCAAACACCAATTTTTTTTTTCTTTTTTGAGATAGAGTCTCAGTCTATTGCCCAGGCTATAGTGCAGTGGCATGATCTTGGCTCACTGCAACCTCCACCTCCTGGGTTCGAGCAATTCTCCTACCTCAGCCTCCTGAGTAGCTGGGACTATAGGCACATGCCACCACGCCTGGCTAATTTTTGTATTTTTAGAAGACAGGGTTTCACCATGTTGGCAAGGATGGTCTCAACATCCTGACCTCGTCATCTGCCCACCTCCGTCAGCCTCCCAAAGTGCTGGGATTATAGGCGTGAGCCATTGCTCCTGGCCAACACCATATATTTTTAAAATAAGTTAACACCACAGGTCAAAATACATAATAAAATTACAAGACAACTGGCTGGGCACAGTGGTTCACACCTGTAATCCCAGGACTTTGAGAGACTGAGGTGGGTGGATCACGAGGCTCAAGAGTTCAAGGTCCAGGAGTTTGAGATCACTCTGGCCAATATGGCAAAACCCAATCTCTACTAAAAATACAAAAATTAGCTGGGCATGGTGGCACACACCTGTAATCCTGGCTGCGTGGGAGGCTGAGGCACAAGAAATCAATTGAACCTGGGAGGCAGAGGTTGAAGTGAGCCGAGATGGCACCACTGCACTCCAGGCTGGATGACAGAGTGAGACTCTGTCTCAAAAACATAAAAATAAAATGAATGTTTAGGCCAGGCATGGTGGCTCACGCCTGTAATCTCAGCACTTTGGGATGCCAAGGCAGGTGGAACACCTGAGGTCAGGAGTTCAAGACCAGCCTGGCCAAGGTGGTAAAACCCCATCTCTACTAAAAATACAAAAATTAGCTGGGCAAGGTGGCACATGCCTGTAGTCCCAGCACACGCCTGTAATCCTGGCTACCTGGGAGGTTGAGTCAGGAGAGTCTTTTGAACCTGGGAGGTGCAGGCTGCAGTAAGCAGAGATCATACCACTGTACTAAAGCCTGGGTGACAGAGCGAGACTGTCTCAAAAAAAAATACAATACAATAAACAAATTTTTAAAAAACTAAAAGACAACTAATTAGGAAAAAAATAACTGCAAGGAATACAACAAAAGATTAGTCTCTATAAAATATAGAGGATTCATACATACAAAGAACCTCAACATATAGACAAATGACAGAATAGACAACTGAAAAAAAATACAAGTATCTTTAAACACCTAAATCAGAGAAACCATTTCTTGCTAATTAAGTTAGAAAAAAATTGTTTAATGCTGTACTACTACTCTTTAGTGTTACTCAAATTAAGGTGAAATGAGCATCACCATACACTTCCAATGAGTATAGACAAACAAATACTTTCTGGACAATCGTTTGGAAATACGCATCAAAAGTTTTAAAAATATACAGACCTAGCAATTCTAATCATTTCTATCGTAAGAAATAATTTGAAATATGGAACAATCCTTACGCAAGCTTATTTCTAAAAGTCTACTGTTATTAAAAAACAACCTGGCATGGTGGCTCACGCCTGTAATCCCAACACTTTAGGAGGCCTGAGGCAGGCAGATCACCTGAGGTTGGGAGTTCAAGACCTGCCTGACCAACATGGAGAAACCCTGTCTCTACTAAAAATACAAAATCAGCCAGGCATGGTGGTGCATGCCTGTAATCCCAGCTACTCAGGAGGATGAGGCAGGAGAATCGCTTGAACCCAGGAGGCAAAGGTTTCGGTGAGCCGAGATCGCGCCATTGCACTCCAGCCTGGGCAACAAGAGTGAAACTCTGAAACAACCTCTAAGTTCAGCATTAAGGAAATGATTAAATAATTTCATAATCTATTAATAAAACATTATGCCACTATTAAAAATGTTTGAAACAGGGCCAGGTGCAGTGGCTCATGCCTGTAATCCCAGTACTTCCAGAGCCCAAGGCAGGCAGATCAAGCCTGGCACAGGCAGATCACTTAAGGTTAGGAGTTTGAGACCAGCATGGCCAACATGGTGCAACCCCATCTCTACTAAAAATACAAAAATTAGGCTGGGTGCGGTGCCTCACACCTGTAATCCCAGCACTTTGGGAGGCTGAGGCGGGCGGATCACAAGGTCAGGAGATCGAGACCATGCTGGCTAACATGGTGAAACCCCGTCTCTACTAAAAATACAAAAAAATCAACCAGACGTGCTAGTACACACCTGTAGTCCCAGCTACTCAGGAGGATAAGGCAGGAGAATTGCTTGAACACGGGAGGCGGAGGTTGCAGTGAGCCAAGATCATGCCACTGCACCCCATCCCGGGTGACAGAGTGAGACTCTGTCTCAAAAAAAAAAAATTAACCAGTGTGGTGGCATGCACCTATAGTCCCAGCTTCTTGGGAAGCTGAAGGAGGACAACAGCTTGAACCCAGGAGGTGGAGGTTGCAGTAAGCCAAGATCGCCCCACTGCAATCTAGCCTGGGCAACCAAGCAAGATTCTGTCTCCAAAATATATGTGTTCGTGTGTGTGTGTGTGTGTGTGTGTGTGTGTGCGCGCGTGCGCGCGCGCATGCATGTGCACATATATATATATATATATATATATGAAATAATCAAATATAAAATGTGAAACCTGAATTGGACCTTAGATCCTATCAACCAATCAATCAATAAAACAAGATAAAAGACATCTTTGAGACAATTGGGAAAATCAGAGCTACATAATTAGATATTATGGAATGATTACTTTCTTAGGTATGATAATGGTACTATGATTATATAGAATAATGTACTTATTCTTAGGGGATGAATGCTTAAGTATGTAAGGGGATGTCATATTAGGGAGAAATCTGATGAATGCAACCTAGTTTTAAACAATTCATCCCCAAAAAAAATTATAACACACACAGACACAGAGAACAAATGTATACTCTTTCATTTCTTCTTAAACTTTTAAAATAAAAAACTTGGGGAATACGTTAAGTTTTAATTGTCACAGGAAAAATGTGCGTGTTGTTAAGCAAAACATCAGCAAACATACACTTTTACTTTCCACATGATGTCAAACATAAAAATCAAATGAACAAAAAAAGAGAAAAGATGGCAAAATATTTACAGTAATTAGCCTCTGGGTGGCAGGATTACAGATGATATCTTTGCTTCCTTGCAACTTTCTATATAATTAATACTTAGTAAAAAAGAGCATTATGCATAACTTTAATAAACATAAAAGAGGTGAAAACATAAATTTGCAAAGTTGGGAACTGTGACTCAAGCAAGTGAAAAAAGACAAGATTTTTACAAAAACAAAATAGAACATTATCTATATGACTGAAAGGACCAGATAAATGACCTTGGGAAATAGAGGGAAAGTTCAAGAGCAAATGTTGCAAGTGGTAGAAAAGAAGCAATGAAGGATGACAGCACTTTGAGCTCTTTTTAGTTTCTTTTGGTGTTTTTCCCTCTTGTCCCTGATCTCTAAATGCTGGTGGGCTCCATGAGTCCCTGGACCTCTTCTCTAGCTACATTCACCACTCAATGACTTCACCCAGACTCATGGTTTAGAATAGTATCTATCTGCTATGAGTCTGCAATTTAAATCTCTGGCCTAGACCTGTCCCTCTAAGCCCCCACCTGTCCAGTTGGGTGGCTCAATGCTTAACATGTTTTTAAAACTGAACTTCTCCTCCTGCGTCTTCTCCATCTTAACTGTCATTCCATTACTCTAGTTGCTCAAATCAAAAACCTGGAATCTGCCAGGTATGGTGGTATGCATCTGTAGTCCCAGATGCTCAAACCAAACCTGGAATAACTGTTACTTCCTTCTTGTCTCTCACACTCCACATCTGATCTATCTTTGAATCCTCTTTTCAAATACTCAGACTCTCACT